GCAATGAAACTCAAACAGAAGGTATATCCCAAGATCTAGTTTATCTTTGTTGCAAAGTTGGAAATTCAGTCTTCAGAAGCTACGCTGAAATCACTGTGATTAGGAGACTTTTATATTAATATTCTTCAGCCCTTTCTATATATAGGATGAAACTACTGCTCCAATACCAGTTGGAAATATGTTTCTGAATTGTTTTATTGAGTTGTCATATTGGGCATTGATCTATCTACTTTCTACTGCTTGGATCTCTGGTGACCAATAGCATATACCTGGGCAGGTTCTGGGAGATAATCTGGATACTCTGTCACTTCAGCCAGGCTGGAAGCCAAAGACAAATTTTGCTGAAGTGTAAACTCTGAGAAGAATGGGGGAAATTTTTTATGAACTACTCCATTAATTCATTGCTGAAATGGGCATCAGAGTGCCAATGAGGTTGTTATGAATAGCCCAGTCAATCATTATACTCAGCCACTGGGAGAAAAAGAGCACGAGAAACTAACACAAGACAGTAAGCTGTGGCTTGAAGTTCTCCATATGTTCAACTTCATGTATGCCCAAACAAGTTATTTGAAGGGGAAACACTAAGTTTTAAGTTTTTTCTTCTATGCAGGTTACTATTAAAATGAATTTTCTACTTGACTTCTTTACTTGAATTACCAAAAAAACTCCCCCCCCAAAATCCTCCATTTTTTCTCTAAGCTTTATAAAAAACTCCTCATGAAGGCAAATAAATTAGACTAGATAAATCCTGCAAAGTGATCATCTGTTGTGTTATGCACATATGTTTGATGGACAAGGCAGTAGGGTATTTGATCAAGCAGGGCAGTGTGGGTGCTTATTTGCAAGGCTTATTTTAAAAGCTTTTTAAAGCCTGAAATGTCTGTGTCCTAAAATATCTTAGCTGTAGACCGTCACATCAAAGGGCTCCTTTGTTACAGAGGTCTCTTCTTAACATTATCCTTTCCTACACTAGTTTTCCTCACTTTTCTCATTTTCAACTAGTGCTTTATTAAAGCTAACTTTTGGATGACCAAGAAGAAAAAATTAATAAAAGACTAGGAGGATCATTACAAAGCTTTCTATCCCGAAAGGAATTGTCTGGGGGTGCACTGATCCTGCCACTAGAGTCCAGCTATCACTCCCACTACTGGATCCTAAACTGGGCTTAAAAAGCATTTCCCTATAACCTAAGGAAAACTGAATACGTAACACGACCTTGCAGGACTCTTATCAATCTATGATATGTGTAAGTATAAGGCCTGATCTAATATTCATTAAGGATTCTGATGTGCCAACTATAAGAATAAATTGCTGCTCTTCCTCATTCCCTTCCCAAGGAGCAGACAAGATCCACAGAGAAAACTTCTTTAACATTGTTTTAAAGTGGAGATGCTATTTTTTCTCAATTGAATTTTTAAATGTTCTGAGACAACAAAAGTTTGGTCCCCCTAAGACGGGGACAGCTCGGGGCAGCTAGGTGATGCAGTGGATAGAGCACCAGCCCTGAAGTCAGGAGGAGCTGAGTTCAAATCTGGCCTCAGACCAAACACTTGACTTGTACTAGCTGTGTGACCTTGGGCAAGTCACTTAACACCCACTGCCACACCCAAAAAAAACCAAAACAAAACAAAAAAAAAAAAAGAAGGGGACAGCTCACATCAGTAACAGTGAGGCTGTAAAACTAACATGGAACATTTCTCAAAGGAAAGGGAAGAGGAGTGCCATAGAAGCTAGAGTAACCTCTTTCTGGTTGATCAAAGACAGTTACAGGGAAATGTGGAATGTGAAAATGAAGTATATGACTCCATGTTCTTTCTTCTACTTTTCTGTTAGTTGGGAGGTTGGGGGAGAAAAGAAAGGGCAAGACAAATGAGGCAAAACAGGTAGGCAGGAGTGCAGACAAACCCTGTGATGGATATTAAGGTGATCAAGAAGGGAAACTGTACTAGGTAGGAGTCATGAGATCTGGATCCTCATCCTAGCTGTGTGTGATTTGGACCAATCACTTAATTTCCCTGGGCCTGTGTTTCCTCATTTGTGAAATTAGGGAATAGACCTAGATTATTTCTAAGTTTTCTAGAAATTAATGTTTCTGATTTTACTTTAATAAAAGGTTGTGTTTTTGTTTTTACAAAAGCTCAATTGGGCTAGATCATGTGCTTGATAATCTGTGCCTATGAAAAGCCTGTGCAGTTGGCTGCCAAAGCCATTCATGTGGTAGTAACTACCCTACTGACTGTCACAACAATTAGGAAGAAACGTTCAGTCTCCATAGGGCTAACTTTGAAAATGCAAAACTACTAAGTGACAGCTAACAGCACAAATTCTTACTAGAGGTGGGTGAAACAGGCTTTAGTTTTTTTAAACACACTAGCTTCAGTACTACTATCTTTCTTTGTCCTCCGTACCACAGAACCCTAAAAACCAATGGAAGTCAGGTTGAAAGCTGCTACTGACCTTGGAATTAGTTGTGGAGGAGAAAATCTGACAGCTAGACTTCTCTGATCTGGACTGAAATAAAGGCATTATTACTATAATGTTCAGTAGCTTCTTGGATTTATTCATTTCTAAGATTTAAAATGTGCATGTAAGATGGAAAAGCCTCCTAATAACAGAAATTGTCTCTAAAGCTACTGAGAGCACCTCATATATATTTACTTTCTATTACTATTTTAGCCCCTCTAAGTACGAAGGACTAGAAGACTGATCAATGCCCTGCTTCTAAGTAAAGAAACAACTTCCACAAAAACTTATTTTTAGAAATCAGGAAACTGAAGCCAAAGACCCAGAGTAGCTTGCTCTACGTACTGAGCAAAACCATGGTAGACTGGAATTGTAAGGCCTTTCTCCTGACTTTTTTGCTCTATCCACTAATCATTCTATCCCTGAGGAAGTTAATACATGTGAAGTCACAAACAATAATGTTGTTAATAATGGTGAACATTTTTACACTGTTTTAAACTGACAGGTCTGTGACACACAGACTAATTAGTATAGCAGAGATCTACGCAAAAGTCCCCTGCGGTCATCATTCTTTTCTTTTGTGGTATTACATTCAGAGTTCCCTCTACTTTACAGAAAGCAATAGACTTGTATCCATGAGATTCTACTCATTGTTTTCATATGTCATTTAGCAGCAGTTCAGAGCAACTAGAAATTTCTCGCTAGTAAATAAAATAAAATTCTGAAGTTCCACAAATAATTACAATTTCTGAAACTGCTGTCAGTCAAAAAGCTTTTTTTTTAAAAATCAAATTGCTTACACAACAAAGCTCACAAAAGAGTTACACAGTGACACAGATTAACCAAATAATCTTTCTCCACTACCTCCCTTCTCTCATCCTTTAAAAGTGAGAGAGCTCTCAGGCTGGGAGACTTCATTCGTTCTTTTTTTCTTTTTTTTAAAACAATATAGGATGCACTCCATCTGCTCTGACATCTAATAGTAATACCACCAGCATGAACCAGACTATAAGTTCTGTCAAGGGACATATATTCTCATCTCCAATTTTATGTAGGGTGAAAAACCATTTCTTTCTTCACTAAGATGTAATTTGTTCATTTAGGCAAGCTGCTTCCTTCTCTTAAGGAGTCTGAGATTTGACAGGAGGTAAAAGGCAAAAGTTCTGAGCAATAGAATCTCTTTCATAAGAAGGGTTGGGCACAAAGAATCATTACCTATGTCAACTGTTTCAATTTTCTTTAGCATAATGCTTAAACTTTAAAACTGTCGATTTTAATAAACATTTGGGACTTCAGCAGCTAGACTGTTCAACCTCTACCTCAACATGCACCTTCCCTAAACACTGCTTTTATTGGCAAAAGACCTTCAAGTGCATACATTTCTATATTTTAACTTGTTTATTCAATTTAGAGCAACTTCTAACTATAATTTCTCTCAAAATATTAACATACCTTTACTTACTTTGATAATCACAATGGACAAACTGAAAACCACCCTAACTGCCAAATAAATACAAAGTTTAGTTTTCTCTTTTTTTTCTCATGGATTTAAAATGGAACACATGTCTGTATTATAGATAGATATCTAACTATATCTTTATCTATATCTATCTATCTTCTACATAGATACCTAGGGAAAACTCTCACAAAAATACAAACCAAGTAACTGAGTGGGACTCCTGTCTTCATTTTTAACAATGGTTTTTCCTCTGGTAAGTTAAACCAATCTGTGAGTCTCTGTTCTTTCATACCACAACCACATATATGGTATGTGGGGATGTGTGTATACATACATACACACACATAGAAACACATTATTATACATACACATGTAAGTGTATACACACACACATAAAACCTGGAGTAGGGAAAATAAAACAGTTGACAGTACGTAGCCAAAAATGTTATTCTTATGAGGGTCTAGGAGGAGTAAGTTCTGCATAAGCAGCAGATACTTCGGCGAGCATTTATATATCTGTTCAATATAAGGTCTACATTTTGAAATATAGAGGCTACAGTCATTATTCATTCAAAGCAATACCTCCAATTCAAAGGCTACATCTCATCTATGCTTAAAAAAAAAAAGCTCTCCTCCCCCCACATCATTATTTCATGACAGCTAGTCTATTAAACTGTCCAGCATCCCACATCTATGTTGCACCATTTGAAAATGCATTCATAGCTTTTCTTCTGCCCACCATGTGTATGTCTGTTTAAACCAGCTGACTCTCACAGAAGTATTGCTGTGCTTTCTTATCTTCAAGCCTTTATACTCTACGCCTAGAATATGGTCCTTCTCTGCCTTCTCCTGTTGAATTCTTGCCCATTCTTTAAAGCCATCAGTCATCTCCTTCATGAAGTCGTCCCTGATTCCCCCAGTCAGGTATACTCTTGCCTGCCCTGACCCCTGGGTCTCATATAACAATTTATTTTGCATTCTGAAATCTGAGCTAAAGGTAGTTGATATAATTTAAAAATGAAATTCTAAAAGAAAATAGGATAGAAAATGAAATACTGAGGATAAATGGTTTTCTTACCGGACCTGTAATTGCTAAGCATGCAGAACATCCGGAAAACATCTGGAGAAAACTTCTTTAGAAAGTCCTAAAAAAATTTTTAAATGAAATACATTTATTATAATTTTATTCTAAAAGTAATTTTTATATTAACTCAGAGATTGTGTGGCATAATAGATAGAGCACTGGAATTGGGAGTTAAGATCTGGGTTTGAATTCTACCTTAAACATACTTATTACTGTATCACCCTGGGCAAAAGTCACTTAAACTCTCTAAGATTCAACATCGTCATCTCTAAAATGTAATATAAAATATGATAATAGCACTTACCTCACAGAGTTGTTGTGAGAACCAAATGAAATTCATATACAAAGTACTCTGTAAACCTTAAGTCAGTATATAACTGTGAGTTATTATTATTCTTGTTATTATTACAAATGTATGTTAACTCATATTACAAAATCTTTGTGGAGATGTTCCTGCCCAAATTCTAAGCATCATAAAAACCTTTTCTGATCAATTATTCCTCCTTTTATCAACACACTAATAACACTGTTGGTGGAATTATGAATTGATATGGAAAAAATATTTGTAATTATATAAAAAGATATACTAAATTATTAATTTAAACCCTCTAACTCATAGCTCCCACTACGGAATACACACTTCAAACATGGTCAAAGAACAAAAAAGGGCTCAAATATTAAACACAAAACTGTTGCAGCTAAAAACCTGGAAACAAAGTGGGTACCCATTGATAGGAGAATGGCTGACAAATTGTGGTGGATAAATGTGACAGAGCATTAACATGTCAGAAAAAACAAGGAATTTAGCTCACATCTGCAAAGACTTAGAGGAAGTGATATGGAGTTAAAGAACTAGAATCAAGAGAACAAGACGCATAATGACTACAATAACGGGGATGAAAAGAACACTAAAATAAAGCCAACCCCTTAGCAATTGTAAGGACCAATATGAACACTGGAGAAGGCCAGCCTAAGGAAATACCTTCCCCTTTGGAGTAAACAGATGCACTACAGTCAGCAGTTTCAACAGGAGCCTAATGACAGACTGCGATCTCAAGGAACAGCCTAGTGAAATGGTTATCTAAGTTTGGGGTCACACTGAGACCCCTCTAGTGAATATCCTAAAGTATGCTGCAGTTAAAGCAGGAACCTAGTGTACAGCAGCAATATTCTCTTAGGGAGTTCAAATGGCAGTTGGTGTGCAATTTATAAAAACCCTGGTCCGTGAGAGAAAGAGTAAAACTTTCTCTAACAGTAAGGAAGCACCGAAGAAAAAAAATCAGTATAAATGATGAGAGGCAACCTTACACTGTCTCTTCAAACAGAATGCAAGTTCAACAAAATCTCTGCATGTGGAAGCCAGTGTTAATGTATCCACAATTACTTTAAGATTACTTTAGGAGATCAGATATGGAATTCTTTTAAAAAGGAAAAAAGAAGAGCACAGCTTGACTAAAGACTCCAAAGTGATCTGCCTACAGCTGCAGCCCTGCCCTCTCAGCCACTATCTATGCCTGTGGACAAGAAGCAGGTGCTACAGCTCACGTCTGCTCAGCAGCCACCACTCCTGCAGACCCAGAAAGGACCTTCACTACCAGCACTCTCCAGAAAAGTCAGTGACTCTGTCAGTGGATAGAATATGAAATAAGATGCAATGTATCAGCTTTGCTGCTACACCCTGAGGACCACTTGGCCTTTTCCAACTTCTGCATGTGTTGTTTCCCCCATTAAAATGAGAGCTCCTTGAGAATGGGAGATTGCCTTGCTTTTCTATGTGTATCCCTAGTGCTTTGCACGTGGCCCTGCTCCCAGTAAACACTTAATGTAGGTTTCTTTGTTCATTTATTTTACACTTCAATTTTCAGGGGTGACAAGCACATATACACACACAAAGGTACACACCTTGCTCACTCCAACTAATATTTCAGTTGCAGAACGGTTGAATGAAAGAGTAAGAGGGCTCTGCTTACTGAATCAAACCTAGCTACAAAGGGAAAAATAAACATCAGGCTAAATTGCCTCAACTGGGAATTTTTTTTAGTCGTCTTCTCCCCACCCCCATTTTAATAATTCTTTTAAGATAACTTGTTTCTCTAACATGACCCCAAGGATTTTAAGTCTAAACGTGGACAAGTTTGTAACACACACTCATCCTCTCTCTTTTCCTATTTGTTGTATTCCAATACTATCAATCTTAAGCAATAATCATTTGTCAAGTGCCTAGTAAGTGAAAGGAGGGCATTCAATATATTACTCTAACTACAAATTTATATTAACCACTCCACATAAGAACTATCCAAGGATTCTGAAATAAGGGCAGATTTTGTTGTTGCTGTTCAGTCCTTTCAAGTCACCTTTGACTATTCACGACCCCATGTGGGGTTTTCTCGGCCAAGATACTGAGTGGTTTACCATTTCCTTCTCCAGCTCATTCTTACAGATGAGGAAACTGGGGCAAACAGGGTTAACTAACTAGCCCAGCGTCAAATAGCTAGTCTGATGCCAGATTTGAACTCAAGAAGATGAGTCTTCCTGACTCCAGGGCCAGCACTCTAACCACTGTACATCACAGTGCTGCAGGGCAGATTAAGTAGGCTAATGTAGCAATGTTTTATGGACTGAAGTTTAATTGGGATTTTTGAGCTCAGTAAAACTTTCCAGTTTGAGCTTCAAAGGCACAGACTTCAAGAAACCAGGGTCACTTCCATACCAAAAAGAGCTATTAGAATTAGATTTTAGAAGGATACTCTATGCTGCTTCACTAAAATCACTTAAGTACAAGTAAACCAAGAGTTTTTTATGGAAAGAATTTAACTCATTTGCTAAACTTCCTCTGAAGACGTTAAATATTTAAGATGAGGAAAGATAACTTAATTCTAACAAATAACCAAAAACTGAAGCCTTCATTTTAAATCAACAAGTATTTGCTGAACTCCTAATAAGCTAAAACTATTCCTAGGGTTTTACTTATAATTGATCTGTGGCTGGTGCCTTTCAATAACAGAATTTATATTGAGGAGACTGCGGAAATGCCTAGAATCTGGTTATTTTTCCATCCATATTTGTTTCCTAATTTGTGATTATATTTATTTGGTTCTGCAAACTCAAAAGTCAAAGGATTACATCGGTCAAACCATCAAAAAACATTTTCTTCAATCATATATGGTTTTGACTCTCACTATGTACTTTCTCCATTTGACTCACCATTAAATAGCATGATATGTGTATGTAAGCATCATAAAGTGGGTCAGGCAAGTAAAAGAGCCAACCAACTACAGAGCTCACCAAAAGATAAAATACAGTGGAATAGCAAACTGTCCCTGATAAGAAACAGAATGACTAAAGGACATAGATTTTTTTCTAGAGAAGAGAGAAGGCTAGGAACTTTGCAAGTATGATTTAAAAGACATCCTTTCTGGCTAAGTGATCACAGACAAGTCAGATCCTCTCTGAGTGTCCCAAGCAACTCAGTAAGACATAAGCTACAGAAGAGGTTCATTAGTTTTAGTAGAGAGAGTTTCCTCAATAGGAGTTACCGAACCCTATGAAATCACTGGTCCAGGTTAAAAAACAAACCAAAAAAAGTATGAAATGGCAGTATAAAAAAAAGATATATAACAAAGAGTATAGGGGCAGCTAGGTGGTGCAGTGGATTGAGCACTGGCCCTGTATTCAGGAGGACCTGAGTTCAAATCTGGCCTCAGACATATAACACTCACTAGCTGTGTGACTTTGGGCAAGTCACTTAACCCGAATTGCCTCACCAAAAAAAAACAAAAAAAAACAAAGAGTACAGGAATAAGAAACAAAGAAAACAGTCTATAAGTTAATATGAAGCAGAACAAATGCTGAAGTAGAAGTAACTAGGATAAAAAGGGCAAAGTTATTATATGCTTTTAAGACAAAGAAGTGTAATGTATGTTAGATGGAAAACCATATTTAGAACCATGGAAGAGTTTATTAGAAGCCAAAGAATCAGTTATATGGCATACAATGCACACACATTTTAGAACCAATTTAAGAATCTGTCATTCATTTTGTAGTTTTATAATATATTACCTTAATTGTAATGTAGTTTTTTAATGATTTTGACATTTTTTCTTTCCCTTTAACATGCAAATGCCCTGGCAGAAAAACAACAAGGTTAAATTAGTTGTTCATGAAACATAACAGAACTAGTTATCCTATAAGAAAAATCTGATGAGCTGATATAAGTAACTGAAGGCATTAAAAATTTGTTCTCCACAGAAGCAGAAGCACCTCTGGCTGAATCAAGGCTAACATATTAATGTAAGCATTACACTAAATACAGAAAATAGAATCACAGATCTAGACCTGAAGGGATTCAGAAACCATTTAGTTCAAACTATTTCACTAATGTCCTATTTGCTTCTTATCCCACAATTTAGAAATATCTACTTAATAGACCAAGTACCTGGATAATAATTAAAATATTACTAATTTTTACAAATGAGGAAACTGGAAGTAAATTTAATAACCTAAGAATTATATTCCAACAAGTTTAGGCACATTGACAAGAAAGCTATAAAGCTGAACAGAAAAGGTTTAGACTTTTTTGATTTATTACATAAAAAATCATTATCTTATGAGTTGGAATGAATTTTATTAGATTTTCTAGTTCAACTTCTCCCCTACCCGCAATGTATGAGTCCTCTCTACAACATCCCTGATCATTTGTTATCATCCCACTTATGCTTACACTCTAATTCCAGGGATGGCAGTAGAAGGCAGCCCATTTCACTCTGAGAAAATTCTTCATCCCTATAACTTTCTCATACTGTTTTTAATGCTGTCTCTGGAGCTATACAAGATAAAATCTAATGGCTCTTCCATGTAGTAACCCTTCAAATACTTGAAGATAACTATCATGTCCCCAAGTCTTCTCTTCCCAGGTTAAATAAGATTCTACAAATTCACTGATTCACCAAATCCTTCTAGAATTAGTTCACATCTTCTTTGTCATATATATATAAGAGAAGAAGTTAACTTCACTAAAGATTTTTTTTTTCTTAAAACAAACACACACGTACAATACACAACAATATAAGGAGCTTCTAAAAGCTCTGGTATTTTTCCTAAGCAGTACAACTTCTCTCAAAAAAAGTCTCTTAGGCTCAGATTCCAGCCAGTCTAGCCAACAGCTCACTAATATTCAGATTCCTTAAGAGATTGCCCAATATGACAGATGTTCTAATAAAACTTGTCTTTGGCTGAAAAAAAAAAAGTCTCTTAGAAATATTTGTTCCTAATGGGGGGATTTCCCTTTCCTAGTCTGCTTAAAAACACTATGTTACAACACAAATGTTTTCTTTTTTTTTTTTTAATTTTTTATTTTTAGGCAATTGGGGTTAAGTGACTTGCCCAGGGTCACACAGCTAGTAAGTGTCAAGTATTTGGTCTGAGGCCGGATTTGAACTCAGGTCCTCCTGACTTCAGGGCTGGTGCTCCATCCACTGCACTACCTAGCTGCCCCCACAAATGTTTTCTGAGAACTGTTTACATAACAGAGTGTCAGAAAAGTGATATAACCTAGAATGGTCATCAAATAATATTACATTAATAAATGAAGTTTGGCAGCATCTCAAATAATATTTATCTGACTTTTTTATTTCTCTAATTCAACTTTTTTCATTAGGAAGAATTAATAATTCTCCATTGTTTTATTAAAGGAGATACGTGACATTTTTTTTATCTCCAGTATAAAGTTAAAGGAATATAAAAAGTATATGTTTAAGATCTTACTTAGTAATTAGAGAAAATAAATCAATTAAAAAGTGATTCTCTCCCTATATTTTAAAGTCAGTATCTTTTTGGTGTTTCTAAACATTCACTGGATGCTTTTCATACCAACCCTGGCTAAGCCTGACTAATTAGTGGACGACGTTTAAAGGAACCAAAGATAATCAGTACAAGTGTTACCTTCTTCTCATTCTGAGGAACAGAGGTATGCCAATGGAAGTACACTAATTATAGCCAGTGCATTTTGCTAGGACCTTTAGGATACCACCCTGATAATCCATGGACCACTGAAAAGGGTGAACTAATAGGGAACTAGGCACATGCAGAAGGACTATATTTATCAGGAATTGTCAAGAGCACCAAGTCCTTCAAAATGAAGTATGCCTACAGTCTTCAATGGTTTTCAGAATAATATTTTATTTTTTTTCCAATTACATGTAAAGACAATTCTTAACATCCTTTTTTTTTTTTTTTTTTTGGCAATTGGGGTTTAGTGACTTGCCCAAGGTCACACAGCTAGTACGTGTCAAGTGTTTGGTCTGAGGTCGGATTTGAACTCAGGTCCTCCTGACTTCAGGGCTGGTGCTCTATCCACTGCACCACCTAGCTGCCCCCTTAACATCCATTTTTAAAAAATTTTGAGTCCTAAATTATCTCTCTCCCTCCCTGCATCACCACCCCCTCCCTAAGACAGTAAGCAATTTGATATAGATTATATATGTGCAATAATGTAAAACATGTTTCTATATTAATCATGTTGTGAAAGAAGAAAGAGGCCAAAAGAAAAAAACCATGAAAAAAATTTAAAAAGTGAAAATAGTATGCTTCAATCTGCATTCAGATTTCATCCATTCTTTCTCTGGATGAAGGCAGAATTTTCTATCATGAGTCCTCTGGAATTGTCTTGGACCACTGTACTGCTGAGAAGAGCCAAGTCTTTCATAGTTGATCATCGCACAATGTTGCTGATACTGTGTACAATGTTCTCCTGATTCTGCTCACTTCACTTTGCATCAGTTCATGTAAGCCTTTCCAGGTTTTTACATGAATACATTTTATCAACTCTGGCTCTACTTATATTTATTCGGTTAAGCACTGAGAAAAAAAGTCTAAATATTTTCTATTTCACGTGATCACTAAAGTATAGTATAGCATCTTACATTGCAAACTATACATAACGTCCCTTAAGAAGTTCTCAAATTTCTACCAATAAATGAGAAGACTACTTTCCTCATCTACATCGTCAGGAATGTAGCAACTATATCCTGGAACCTATTTAGCTGTAACAAGGGAAAAGTTGTGACAGATTGGATATATTCAGCATCCAGACCATCACAACCACAGCAACAAAACCATTTTTATGTTCTTCATAAACAGAAGACTTTCTGAAAAAGAGATACTTTGAAAACATTATTGGAAGGTTAAATTTTAAAAGGATAAAATTTAAAGTTGTGAGGAATGTGAAAATATAAAGAAATTGGCTGTTTAATATTTATTGAACAACCTCAGAGTATTAGATGCTATGCAGAATATATACCAAATAATGACTGACTTTTTATACTTACATTTTTATAAAATCAAACAATTTCAAAATTGAAAGGAGCCTCCAAAGCCATTTGGCCTTATCCCTCCATGAAAAAGAGTCCCTTCAACCTCACACTCAATATGTGGTCATCGAGCCTTTGCTTGAAGACCTCCAATGTGAGAGAACCTACTGTATCTCTTGAGCCTACTTTTAAATAGATAATTCAAAATGCAATTAAATTTTTCTTGACATCAAATGTATATTTGCCAGTTTGTGACTGCCATCCATTGCTCCTAGTCTTCCTTCAGGGAAACGAGACCCATGTGTCTCACAGACTATCCATACAACCCCTATCAATATTTTTACGTTAGTTCTAGACATTTTTCGCCCCCTTTTTCACTTGATTCATTTAATTTCCTACACTAAAGTTCTCTTCCAGTGTTTTACAGCAGTACAGAGGTAGACTCGAGTTCCTAAAGAACTCGTTAGTAAAGCATGAACTTGGGCAGGTTCTATCAAGCTGGAAAGGCTTCAAGTACAAGCCCGATGACAAACTACATATTTTTCACCTGCGGATCAGCCTAAATAAATTCAGACCCTCAATACCAAGTTGTCTATGTACTGACTGGTTTGCTGGCCACAGCAACTCATAAATGGACATGGAAGGATTTGAGATTTAGGTTGGCAGAGGGACAACTGGTTACAACAAATCACAGATCCTTTTAATTAGATATATGAGAAGAAATAATTTTTAAACTTAAATAATTAAGAAGACAAGCAAAATCTGTGTGTTGGGGAGGAGGGGGGGCCAGCAGTGTATGGTGTTTCCCGTTCTACAAGAAAAGATACATAGTGCATTAGATAATGTGAGGAAAGATACAATGAAACCTAATTCTTGGTATTCCAGAATCTCTGGTGAACCACACACATAAATACAAAGAAAATGCTATCACACACAGGGAAATAAGCAACTTGCTTTCTTAATCTCGTAAGGCAGTGTGACATTATGGAACTTGCAGTAAGAGAAACCTAAGTTTAAGTCCTGTCTCTGACACTTATCTGTGTGACGATGGACAAGCCTTTTTGAGTTTCAGATTCACTACCTCCCTCCCTCTGGGGAGCTAAGCAGAAATCACATTAAAAAGAACTATGCAAACGTGAGTTATCATATATTTTTGCTTATAGTCACTATTAAAAAAACAGAAAGACCAAAGATTTTTAGCAAAATTTAAGCAGTCCACGGTAACTTATGCAACACATGGATGCTAATGACAATTTACAATATGGCAAAGAACTGTCCTTGAAGATTTAAAGGAAATTGCCAGCTTGTAGAGTATGCTGTATTCTTCCTTACCTCATGCTGCTTTTTTAATCTATGCCATAAATGCCTTCACTGTACTTTAAACCATTCTTACACTCTTCTCAAAATCATAACAATATCTCATATTACCACATGTATTCTTATCTACCAAGCCCTTACCATAGCTTTCTCTTGACAACAGACAAATCCAATTGTACTACTGCTCAGGATCTCTGACACATGTTATATGACTTGACTACTGAGGGGCTGGTTTTAAAAAATTATGACTTATGTATAATAAGATACAAAGCAGTGTTAAAAAGTAAAGAAAACTGGTCAAATGAATATAGTATTATATCCAAAAGATAGAACTGTCTTCCCAATAGTTTTAGTCAAGAGAAAAAATTACACATTATGTTGAACATTTTTCCTCCCAGTACACACAATCTAGTCAGTCTAATTTATTCCTATATTCATTCATTCAATATATTCATTAATCCATTACAAGCAAAAAAAAATTCATGTTTCCAACAGATAATAGAAATTCAGAATAAACAGATTTCAAAGAGATGACAATTTACTGAAGTTATACATATGTATATTTGTTCATTTGATATACCTCGTTTCAAATATAGCACTAGCATATCATTAAAGGCTGAATTCTTGCACAATAAATAAAACTAATTAAAAATACCACTTACCTGAATGTAAAAAATAGTTTCCCCACTGCTTGCACTGGTGATATACCTCACACTGTGCAATTTCATTTTCGTGATGTGGAAAAGCTAAATCAATCCCACCTGTATGGATATCCAATTGGCTTCCAAACACTAAACTGGAAAACATAATCAACTAGTTCAATACACTTACTCAGCAACTTTTCTCCAGAATGTCAAGTGTGCACTACCCCCAATCCCACATAATGTTGCAGAGAGAAAATTATTAAAATGAAACACAAAGCTCTAATCAAACCACTGAACATTTGTTTATTTCTAATGCATTTCCAATATGTTAAAAAAAAATTAAACTGAATGCAAATGGAGACTGGTATTTTAACCTAGTTTTAATGCTCTACATTTGCAGTGAATAGTCATAATCTTTCTTTGAGCCTAGAAATCTGTGAATGACATTAAAAAAACCCACTGCACAGTCAACTGCTCTGACTTGAAAGAAGTTAATACATGCAGGGTGACTGCAAAGCAATAAGACTAATTTTCTTGTTCGGCTCAGGACTTCAGAATCATACCATGTAAACCAAGTTAACAGATTCAAAACTATATTTCAGTCATGCTATTCTTGTTTATTTAGTGACATTTTCATTATTAATAGTCTAATATTAGGTATGCCTACCAAAACAAATTATTTAATACTAAATTCATTTGAAACCTGCTGACTTTTTGACAGGTACTTAAAGCAACTCTAGCTTACATCCAAAACATGATGTAGTTTAGTGCTGGGTGGGCCTGGAGTCAGGAAGACCTGAGTTCAAATCTGGCCTCAGACTTACTAGCTGAGTGACCCTGGGCAAGCCACTTAACCTCTGTTTGTCTTAATCCACTGGAGAAGGAAATGGCAAACCACTCCAGAATCTCTGCCAAGAAAACCCCATGGACAGTATGGTCCACAGGGTCATGAAGAGTTGGACACAAATGAACAATAACAGCATCACGCTATTATCTAGATCAGCTCTTGTTTATACCCTATAGCCTTGATCATAATAACAAAATCACAAAGTTTACTGAATACCTACTAAATTCAAGGTTCTCTGCTAGGCACTAAAAGCGATATAAAGGTAAGTATTTCTGCCATCAAAGTGCTTTCAGTTGAGAAAAGATATACATACACACTCACATTTTAAAAACTTTTAAGTATCAGTTCAAATGCCAGATGAATTCTTCAGAAGGTAACTGCTACAGGAATTCATAGGAAGAAGAAATCACTTCGGTTTTGGGGGTGGTCAGAAAAGACTTAACAAAGAAAGAATCTGATTCAGGTACTGGGCAACATTTGAATAGGTCAGGGGTTCTTAACCTTTTAGTGTCATGGAGCCCCTTCAGACAGTCTGGCAAAGCCTGAAGAACTCTTCTCAGAATGTGTGTGTGTCTGTACGTTTCAAATAAGTAACTGAAGGAAAAGCCAAATTTCAGTTAGAAGTTGGTAAAAATAAAGATGTAATTTTTCCCCCCATACAAGTTCACAAACCCCCTCAAATCTATCCATGATCCCCTCCAAGGAGTCTGTAGGATTCCAGGTTAGAACCCTTAAAATAAATAGGTAGAGAAAATGGAGCAGGACATTTCCAGCAGGCCAAATGACATGAACAAAAAAAAAAAAAAAAAAGGGAGGAAAGTAGAAGGCATTTTTCAGAGGGCACTAAGTAAACCAGTTTGATGGGAGCAGAGGGCAGCATTTCTCCAGAACAAAGTTGACTTTTACATTCAGGCAAGAAGTCAAACACACTACAAAATCAACTTGCTGCTCTGCTACTTAAATACTGCCATATTCCTAACTTTGCTTCTTTACACTTTGATCATTTTGAAAAATGTTCTTCAATAGTATAACTGGTTATTAAATAATCAGGTTATCTTTGGAATTAACGTCCCCCTTGTTTAAGACTAGTAAAAAAAAATGTCAATCCTGAAAAAATGTAAAGGTCTATGGTCATTTCAGCCAGAAATGTGATCTTCTAAAGAAGTGAGGAGACTTCAATTAAAAGCTAATTATGATACGAGTAATTCAATACAAAGCCAACAGTAGGAGTGTGCAACCCTAAACGGTATCCTAATGCAGTGGCAATCTTTAGAAGGAAATGTACTTTTAAAGAATTCTTAAATTTTTATCATTATCAGCTGGATTCTTTACAATCACTTATCAGTGCATCCCTCATACGTCCCCCTGAAGTAGTATAACTCAGTATAAACCCACACATCAATTAAACAGCAAAGTTAAAAGTAAAAACCTGGGTCTCCTTACTCCTCCAGTTTAATCAACCACACTAGGAAGTCAGCTCACATGCACAAGGAATGGTGATTGTGTCACCAAGAATATATTTCAAAAGGCCAATGAACACTTCACTGACCTAAAACTCTTTCTATTCTTTAGAACTGACATGGTATTGGCCTCTCTTCTTCTGGAGTGTTACTAAGAAATATTTAAAAGATTTCCACCAATTATTTCACTGATGTGCCTGCTGTGTACCCATGACGGCTATTCAAATTAAATACATGCACACCTACTATAAAAAGGGGCAGCTCGGTGGCTCAGTAGATAGAGTGCTGCGCCTGGAGTCAGAAAGACTCCTCTTCCTGAGTTCAAATCTGGCCTCAGACATTCACTAGTTGTATGATCCTGGGCAAGTCATTTAACCCTGGTTATCTCAGTTTCCTCATCTATAAAATGAGCTGGAGAAGGAAATGGTTTGCAAACCACTCCAGTATCTGAGTCATGAAAAGTCAACAAAACAACAAATTACTGTAAAAGAGGAAGATCAGCCCATAAGCCTGAAGGGACAGCTGACTATAACAAAGAAATTTAGGTTTACTGTAATCTGATTTGCACCTCATTTCTACTGTGAACTGAGAATTTCTCGATTTTATTTATCAGAATCACTCCTAAGGCAATATTCATCCTCAGAATAAATTAATTCAGAATATTCAAAATTGCTGACAATTAATTCAGAGTTTGGTAAAATGAATGTTTTTACACATTAAACAGTTAACGGGTGTAAAATGTCACAAAGGCCAATATTAAATCATGATTATAAGCTCCATGACAGCAGCACGTCTAACACTGTGCCCTCTCTGTATATGGGAGGCATTTAAATGTTTGTTGAATTGAATTTAAATATTATGAGTTAGTTTTCTTTAAAAATGTAGAGCAATTTAATGTAGTGAGTTAAGGAATGTCTCCCATGTGAAAATAAATTAGAATTTAAGGAGGAGCATAAACTTGGGCTGAAGTGCACAGACTGGAGGCTAAATAACTGCCTGCTGACTGACAGACAACAGGGATGATTAAATATTGATTTCCCCAGGAATACAAACAAGGTGGGTATACCACAGAAATGTTCTGCTTTTTTCTAAAGTCTCATCATGTCTCTGATGGTCAGGATTGAGCTTCATCATAGACCCGTTCTAAGAAAACTTCTAAGATTATTGGCAAAAGGCAAGTAAATAAATAATGTTGTCTACAAGACAGAAACTAAGGCAAGACTGGAAATCACTTTTGTACAACCTGAAAACCAGAATCCTATATGGCAGTTGTTTCTACTACCAACTGAGATTTAAAAAAAAAAATTATTATAGCTGAACATATTCAAACAGTATTTTTAATTCACCCACAAACTATTAAAGCTTTTCCTGGTCTACATCTGCTCACATCAACACCCTCTGCTGACCAAACTGTGTACTGTTTGTTTTCCATTCGCCAAGATTTAAAAAGTATATAAAGCAAGTTAGCCAAGAAAACTGACCTTGAGATTGTAGAACATTCAATGTGCCAGCCAGGCCTTCCATTTCCCCAAGGAGAGGCCCAAAAAATTTCCTGAGGTTTAGCTGCCTTCCATAGAGCAAAATCACTGGCATGTCGCTTATCAGAATCATCTGCAACAACAAATAATTTAATAGAAAAAAAAATTTTAACTAACATACTACGCAAGTGAGGCCACTAGAAACACACTCAAAAAAATTCTGCTGTCTTACAAACGACCACGCATTTTTCTTTTCACTGATTTCTCCCTACCTACAAAGATAACAGATAGAAAGGTTGCTAAGTACACCAAAGCACTTGACAGACACTGACAGTTGGTCCAGTTTTAGTAAAATGATTAAATGAATGTGAACTGATAAAATGTAAAGAGCCTACTGAATTGGACATTACCTCAATCATCCTTGAAATATATCTTTGAGAATGTAATCCTTAGTTATGACTATAAAAGAAATTTTCTGTTCTGAATTACAACAATAAAGCCTGTCAAGCCAAGTCAATGAATTGAGTGCCTACTACATGCTAGGCACTGTGCTAAGCACCTGAGCAGTGTGTCTGTATCATGCTAAGCATGATACAGACACACTACTTTTAGAGATTTTTATTGCCATATGAATGTTGTAAGTCTGAATATTAAAAGATAAAGTGATCCTTCCTTTCTACAAAATCTAGTTAAGAGTTTGAAAGATATCTTGGAAATTATCTACTCCAATCCCTTTCTTTTTATAACTGAGACAACTAAAGGTTAGAGACAGTAAGTAACTGATGCAATAGTTACACAGCTTGTGTCTAGCATTTAGTACAATGCTTCGTAAGCGCACAATAAAGGCAGGCAGACTGACTGGCAGTCTTCAATTAAAACAAAGATTTCTCAACTCTCAGGCCAGCTGCCTCTGGGAAGAAAACACTGGAGAATTTGCATAAATGGCACAAACATTTGTAGTATTACAGATTTTTTTTTAATTTTAGCAAAGTTTACTGACAATATTTGCCAACTTAAAGTTCTATATTCATTGAATTTTTGAGCACCTACTGTCAACAAATAAGGACCATATACCACAATAAAGGAAATGAGGGAAGAGTTGATAACATAAAAGTTATTTTGAAATAATTTTCCTAAAATAATTAATTTTTGTCTTTTTAATTTCAGAGGGTTGCTATAAGAAAAACCCTTTTTAAAGTCTTAAATATATAGCTATGAACTAATGATACGAATCAGAAAGACTATAAAGTATTGGAAGATATTTCTGCACTGAATGTTCTTTAAAAGAATCATCTTAGGGCAGCTTTACATATATTATAGTCAACCAATGCAGTCAATGCTTTAAAAAGTTTTGAAACTTTCTGAAGATAGTTTCGGGAAAAAAAAAAATGAAAAACAAGTTATCCCAAATATCCTCACTAGCAGGAAATATCCATCTCCTCTTCTTTGAGAAGAGATTTGATTTCTCAGAAATAACCCAAAGTCATCTGAAACCAAGTCAGATGAGTCAAATGGAAAATCAACCTGGGTTCTTAGTCAAAAACTATTTCAAAAGTACAATGTACTGTGGGGCACAATCTTGGTGACAAAACCACAATTTGGATCCCACACAGTGATACTCCAAATCCTCCAAAACTTCCACATAAGCTTAATTAACTAGCCTAATGAGGGAAACTTTACAAAAAGAGTTCCAGTAATTTCAAAGAAACAGACAGTCTCTTCCCTGGTGATTGTGGTGTTTGATTCTGGGTCATATTGGAAATATTATGTTTCATTACCATTTACTATTTCCTTAAAAACAAGTTATTTTTTATAGTTTTCTTTGAAAGACAGTAATTATTCATTCTTTGCCTTAGGTATTTGACATATATTTGTTAAATAAATTACTAAGCCACTCAAAATACATAGCACAATCTCCTCAAATTTTTTTTTCTCATTTTTTTTTGGTGAGGCAAACAGGGTTAAGTGACTTGCCCAGGGTCACACAGCTAGTAAGTGTCAAGTGTTTGGTCTGAGGCTGAATTTGAACTCAGGTCCTCCTGACTTCAGGGCTGGTGCTCTATCCACTGCGCCACCTAGCTGCCCCTTTTTTCCCCTCGTTTTTTAATTCTCTTTTTAGAACAAATATTTATCTTGGTTTCGATGATGGTCTAAACACAAGACAAGCCTCAGACTTTCACTATTTTCAGAGGTCCTGTGGATCACTAGAGAACCACTTCATGCAACCATTTCATAACATATAACTGCTCTACCTTCTTTAAATTCTTTGTGCCAGTCAAAAGCTTTTTCTTAACATTAGTTCATTCCCCCATCTCCCTTAACATATCATTTGCAGATTTAACTTCAAACAAGATTTTATATTAACTTCTTCAAAATAACGGTCACTCATTTTCATGTTGGTACAAAATGAGACATACTTCCATTCACCAAAGCTGCTAACAAAGGACTGGCCAACTTCCAAAGCAGTGACTGCTCTAAGTTGAAATGTTTCGTAATATCTGCTTAAGATCACACCTTTTCCAATGTTATAAGTCACACAAGAAAATCAGTTTCATTGTTCATACCTCATTCAGACCAATGGTCTTTTAAGGTTTCTCTGGTAAAGCTTGAGTGACATATTGGAGAAATGGAAAATAATAACTAGCAATGTAATGTGGTATTTTAATCATATCCCTATTAGTAAAAGAGTTGAAAACAAATTTTAAAAACCCGACCTCATTTCTTACATTTCTTACATAGATTTCATTCCTGAGAACCAACTGAGCAATGCTACTACTGATAAAATCCTGGTTTAATCAAATAGTTTAGAAGGCAAGGTTTATGAAGACCTGGATATGATGGCACACTTCTTTTCAGTTTATATACAAACTTGATTATCTCTTCATTTCCCAATCTGATGCTGTTAATATTTACTGACTACTCACAGAGGGCATAACATTGGACTAACACATGGACCAAGTACTAGAAATAGAATACAACAGGATAACAACATACATAAACATTATAGCACTGAAATGGAAAATATAACAAGATAATCAAACTTAAAGTTGGAAAATTATGAAGGATGAATTTGGTCCCAAAGAAGAAATATTAGAAGACACCTCTGCTTGCTACTTGCAGAAGTCCGAGTCCATGTGGAACACTACATATCAAATCAATTTTTTCAATGTTTGATCAGTTTTACTAATTCTTTTCCTCTCCTTCCTTTTTCTCTCTTTTTATAAAAAAAAGTCTTTGTTATAAGGGATATCTCTGTGGAAGTAGAGGGGAAGGGACATGAAGAAATCTAGGTAATGTTAAAAAAGAAAAAGATACCAATAAAAAAACTACTTTTAAAAAACACAACATGCCAATTTCATCTTAAGCCCTTAGGAGAAAATTCAATCAACCTACCTGATTCCACCCCTTCTTCTGGGACAACACCAATTAATTTCCCATATTTGTCTCCTCTAGACTTAAGGTCAAAGTAAACATTACCTTAAAAAAAAAAATCATTATTAAAATCAGTGGTTTATTTCCCAGGCTGAAAGACCAACAGCTGTGTTAACATGATATCAAACCAAGTTATTAAAGTTTAATGACATTTAAATTTATTTTTGTTAGTCTGTGGATCATAAACAGGAGTTTAAAAAGTACTTTTCAAACTATACATTTGTACAAAATCGGAATACAGATAAAGTACTGTGTTTAATTGGCACAAATTCTTTATAATAAAGTTTTGGGGAGATTTTTTTAAAAAGATAAACTATAAGGCAAGCTAATTTCACTAATCTTGGACATTCCTGGTTCATGGGAAATCAGTAAACGAAATTGTTTCCCTAACCCTAATCTATATGAAGGCATTTTAGGTGTCTTACTTATAAGGTTCTGTCTCTACGCTGAATAACATTTGTCTATATTTTTACACGGACACATACACCACATTTTTCAAATGAGATTAAGAGACAGATTCAGAAATTTCACTGCAGAACTAGTTGTAAGCACTATCCTACTTCTGATGACAAAACTGTAATGAAACAGAGCTAAAAAGCAAAAGGCTCAGAACTAAGGAGACCTTATCAAGACAGTAAAAATACTATAAAATACTAATTTATGAAGTCTCCCTAGCTGTTTAAGCTGCTGTTTATGCTAAGGATGATGTTCCTCCCTGAAAGTAGGTAGGATTAGCAACTAAGTAGCACAGAAATAAGCCATTTTAATTAAAATCAGAAATTTAGAGCTGAAGGAAGCCTTAGAGATCACTTAGTTCAATCTCTTTCATTTTACAGATGAAGAAACTGAGGCCTCAAGTGTGAGGGACTGTCTGATGTTGGCTACTGCCAGGTGGGCGTTGTGGCAAGACTGGGGTAAGATCTGGGTATTTGGAAGTCGAGGCAGGGGCTGTGGTAGGCGGAGTTGTGGTGAACTGGGATGGGCTGGATACGGAGAAGCCCTGAGGCAGTGGGCGGTGCTATGTGAGATAAGCTGGGTGCAAGGAAGTAGCCAGAGCATGTGCTCCTGAGGCAAGGGGCGGTGCTACGTGGGAGTGGGACGGCAGAGGACTGAGTTCCCTTTGCTTAGTCCCCTCCCTATATGCAACGTCAACCCCATACGCCTCCTTCCTGTGACCTTCCTGACTTCCTGGGTCCCTTTGTGTAGCACTGACCCCAGACGCCTCCTCCCGGTACCTGGGCCTGACTTCCTAGGTCACGTACTCTGTCTATGCACTAATCCCAGACGCCTCCTTCCTGTATCCGGTCCTGGCCTCCTGCGTCACTCCCTCTCCCTTTGCACTAAACTCAGACAGCCCCTTCCGGTATCTGACCCTACAATCATTGGCTAGTAGGCGGGCTGAGGAGGAGGGGCTAAGTAGGTACTTAAGGAACGAGCGTGGTTAGATCATGCGCTCTCTTTGCTCCTGCTCTGTTGCTCTGGCCTTTCTGCTTGGCCTTGCTGTGATGGCCTCTGAATAAAGCTCGGGTGTTGGCAGCCTCCTGATGGGTTCGTCTCTGTGTGTGTGTGTGTGTATCCGGGTAGGCTCCGAAGACTGGTAAGTAGTATGACTCTGGCAGCCTGCTCCTTATAGGAGGAGAGTGTACGGCGCGGCTGGCACAAAGTCGGCGCGGCCGGTACACTCAAGAGATTCAAAGACTTGCTTAAGGTCACAGATAAGCAACGAATGGCAAAGTCGGGACCTCAAATCTAGGACTTGGTCTACTACTTCATGTTGCTTACCCCTCAAAAGACAGATGAATTTGATTCAACTTTTATATGACTATTTTCTTGTTCCCTCCATCTTAGATCATGGCAGTCTTCCAACTCTTCAAATTTATTATCTTTAGATTATAGCTAGTAATATAATTAGACCTCATATGTGAACTAATTGTGAGAGGAGAGAACAAATCTCAATAATAGAATTTTTTTAAAAAAGAAATGAAGGGGGCAGCTAGGTGGCACAGTGGATAGAGCACCGGCCCTGAAGTCAGGAGGACCTGAGTTCAAATTCGGCCTCAGACCCAACACCTGACATGTACTAGCTGTGTGACCTTGGGCAAGTCACTTAACCCCAATTGCCTCACTATAAATAAATAAATGAATGAATGAATGAATAAATAAATAAGAAATGAAGCTTTAATAGGAAATAACCCTAAAAGCATATACAATATTCCAACTAGGCTAACAATTTGCCTAGTAGAGAGGTGTTTATAAGGGAAGACAGAAAGGGTAGGGGCTTTAAGACTAAAAAAAATTATTAGCATATCATTTGATTGTACATAAAAGGATATTTTTCATGCATGAGGATACGTATACATAATGTTTTCTTAAATATCTCCCTTTCCAATTTTGTTTAAACTATTAATTTGCTAAGTAATTTCCCCCCACACACAGACACATAGCTTATAAGACCCTAAGAAATCACCAAAAAGTCCAAATTAATATAAATTCCACTATTTTCTGATTTCGGGATAGGGTCTAGACCTGTGATTTCACTGGTACAAGAAATTCCCAGATGGGGCTGCTAGGTGGCACAGTGGATAGAGATCTGGTCTTGGAGTCAGGAGGACTTGAGTTCAAATCTGGCCTCAGACACTTGACGTGTACTAGCTGTGTGACCCTGGGCAAGTCACTTAACCCTAATTGCCTCACCAAAAAAAGAAAAAAAAAGAAATTCCCTGATAAGGAAACACCACTAATCTAAATTAGTACCTTCTCTGCAAATTAGAGTATTAAGAGAGTAACCTGCTCAGCCAAGGTCTCGCTGCCAGTATGTACCAGAACCAGGTCCTGGGGAAAATAAAAAACATGGTCCAGGAACTCCGGGAGTTTACAATTTGTACCTGGGATACTAGATGATTAAAATCATGACCATCCACAATGAACTGTGGATTACATGTTATCGACTCAATATTCACCAACAGAAAAGTTTATTGTACGCTACTGCTGGTCAGGAAAAGGTTAATGGAGATGGTATGGGCTGACACAAGCCTTAAAGGAAATACAAGATTTAAACTGTCAGAGAAGAGGGCAAGGGAGACACTTCATCCTTGCTGATCAAAATGAAATACCATAGTTACTAGCCCCCTTTCCTGGGAAACCAGGAAGAGCATTAGAAACCCTCTGAACTTTTGACCAGGCTTAGTCACTCTGGACAATCATCAAATTTATATGATTATGTAAATTAATTTTAAAAACAAATTTCATTTAAAGGGCAGAAATCTACTTGTATTAGAATGGAACATAATTACTTTAGAATTGACCAAAATGTTTTTTAAGTGAGAATTATATCAAAAAGTCCAGCAAAATATTTTATGTAATCTCTGTTGATACTGGTAACTGTTACTGGGAAATAGTCCATAGGTAGGTAGGTAGGTAGGTAGGTAGGTAGGTAGGTAGGTAGGCAGGTAGGCAGGTAGGCAGGCAGGCAGGCAGGTAGGCAGGCAGGCAGGCAGGCAGGCAGGCAGGCAGGCAGGCAGGCAGACAGACAGACAGACAAGACAGGTGCCACTATAGGTAGAGCAGAGGACTTGGAACCCAAAAGACTGAAGTTCAAGACTGTCTCAGACCAACTGTGTGACCAAAGAAAAGTCACTTACTCTATCTGCCTTCCTTTATAATAATGGGGATAATAATAATACATACCTCCCAGGGTTGTCGTGAGGATAAAATGAGATATTTGTAAACACTTTGCAAACCTTAAAGTGCTATATGAATGCTAGCTAATTCTATCATTAACAATAATAATAAATGATATTAATAATATATTGTCAGGTTTCTCAAAATCCTACCAAATGTACTGTGGTCATACACAAATTACAACTAGATATTAATCACATAAATCTTACCTTTCATAGTTGAATAAGCATGCCCCTTAGAAATTATTCCTTCAATAAATGAAATTATATGAGGAATATTGTCAGTTACTCTCATATACACTGTAGGTGGAAGAACCTAAAGTAAAGGAGAAAAGGGCTGGGTTTAAGGACTACTCGTGAAAACATGTTAGTCATTTACAATATGATGGTATTTTGCTTATTAAAGAGAACCCAAGAATACAAAATGGGGGAAAAAACACATAGCCAGTTTTTAATGAATTGTGACAGTACCTTCAATGTAGCCATATCTAGTTTAAAATCTTCCTCATAAAGACGGGCCAAAGCTGAGGGCGAGATGTCCATCTACAAAAGAGAAGCTTATAATTAATAGGAGGCTACGGAGAGTAAGTAGTCAACTATATGCCAATAAAAAGAGAAAAGGCAAGCTAAGGCTACTTTTGAAATACAAAGAAGAAACTGGGCCAAATGGTTCCATTGTTCCTGACCATTTTTTTTAAAGAGCCCTTCAATCTATTGAGTACATTTTACTTTAAATCATTTAACTCTATTAAACATTAAAGGCCTAACATGTGCAAGAGCCACATGTGTACCAAGCACTTGGGGGTCATAAAGGTTTAACTGATTTGGTTTTCTGGTTAGAAGGAAAAGTGACAGATTTAAGCAAATAATAGTCTTATTTTACACCATAAAAATGTTTATTTTGCTCTATTCTCAAAAAGGCAAACTATCAAACTACTTCTCTGCACCAATTTTTTACAATTGGGAATGCTTAAATTTCTAAACTCTTAGACAGCAAAAGAAAATAACCTAAAATATGGCAATAGGAGTGGGGAGAGGAAAAGAGATCCATAAAAAGAACTATTGGGGCCTATAAATACGCAAACTTATATAGCTACCTAAAAGGGTATTAATTTACAATTTTACAAGAATCATTCATACTTTTAAAATGAGAAAAAAAATCAATTTAACTATCCATCAAAGAAACGAGATAAATGAAACTTGAATGAAAACCCTAACCAGAAATCATTCATCCAGGCTTCCTGCTAGCATTTCATACATGATTATTAGAATTCCAAAGGCACTATGTATATGCAAGCAGTTTCACAAATATTTTATTTAGCACTTCTCACAACAGCCAAAACCAAATAAACATTTACTTAAACATTCAAAAGGTAAAACAGCAGGGAAAATGGAAATGAAAAGGTCAATTGATTTGCTGAAGGTTATTCAACAAGTTGATCATTGTCTAGAGGTGGAAATATTAATAATGATGATGATGATGATGATGCCCAAGGTGTCCAAAACATTCAAATTAAGATGGAAAAGGTCTCCAAGTGGTCACTTTAAAAGTTTCAAATATTATTTTTAACTACTAATCACAAAAACAAAGTTAGGTTAAAATGATTATAAAACAGCCTGCAGAGTACTGTTTTCCACAGGAAAAAGATCCCATTCTTATCTGTGTATGTATTATTTGAAGTTCCATGCTGTCTTTTCCTTCCTACCCCTTCCTTCTAGGATGCTTTCCACTGTCATCAATTTATAAAGGTGCAGGGAATGAAAAGTGAAGCTTTAGGTTAACCTGAGAATCACAGAATTTTAGAGTTAGAAGAGATTTCATCAGCCATCTAATCTAACCTATCATACATAAGACTCATCCCAACATACTCAACAGGCCAGCTTCTGCTTGAAGATGAACACGGAAGAGGAATCAGCCCCCTCTCAGAGCAGCCCATTCTACTTTTGGACGGCTCTCAATGTCAGAACAATTTTCCTGACCTCAAGCCTAAACAGGCCTTTTCGCAGCTTTCACCCATTGCTCCTAGTTCTACCGTCCAGGGCCAAATTGAACAAGTCTAATCCCTCTCCTTCGAATGCTTGAGGACCACTGTCAGGTCTTCCTGAGTCTTCTTCTCCAAGTAAAGCATGCTCAGGTGCTCCAACAACCCTCATATGACATAAAATTCAAGGTTTTTCATGATCCTTGTCTCTCTCCTTTGAAAATTCTCCAGTTTATAAACACCTTTCTTAAACTGTGGTATCCAGAACCTAATGTAATACTTTAGGTAAGTTCTAACAAGGGCAGAGTACGGTGGGAATATAATCTCCTCATTCCTGGAAGTTATATTCCTTGCTCTTAATGCAGCCCAAGACTGGACTAGTTTTTCTGACAGCCACATCTAACTTGGGTCTCATAATGAACTTTAGTCACTAAAACCTCCAGATCTTATTCACAACTACTGTCTAATTATGTTTCCAATCGTATACTTGACGGTTCTTCCTGAAGTGCAAGACTTTACATTTACTGCTGTTAAATTTTATCTTATTAGATTCAGCCCAATGATCAAGCCTATCAGATCTTTTTGGATGCTGACTTTATCACCCAGCACATAAGTGATTCCTCTCAGCTTTGTGTTATCTGCAAATGTGATGAATATACCCAGCTACATCTTTGTCACGGACAAGAATGTTAAACAGCAGAGGGCCAAGCACAGAGCCCTTGGGATACTCCACAGGAAATCTCCTGCCACCACTGAACCATTAATAATTTACTCTGAATCTGGTCATACAACTGTTTCTTAGTCTGACTGGTAATATCACCTAATCCAGTGGTGCCAAACTCAAATAGAATCAGATCCCTACAGGCAACATATTAACTTACAAAACCACAAATTAATGTTATATATGTTGTACTCTATTTTTATTTATTTTGCTAAAACATTTCCCAATTACATTTTAATCTGGTTCAGCCTAAGGAGTCTGATACCTCTGTCCTTGATGATGCGAGAATGCATCTCTCCTACTATAACTTAGAAAAGCTTTAAATCATGTGCTAACATTTTATTTTTCCACATAACTTCCTATAACAATAACACGTTATTTGAGATAGTCATATTCCAGTTCCCCTTTATTTATGAAGACAAATTAAAGAATCAACTATATGACACTAATTTCTGCCAATGAAGAAATAACTAAATGATAACAGACAAAGGACTCCAGTATTTAGGAGTTTCTAATTGTTCACAGATGTTGCACCTCAATCCCTATAGCCATAGCTTCAAGGTACTTGTAAATATTGGTATCTGATTAGAACAAAAGATAATTGCCTTGAACCATGAGAAGATATTTTTCACTTTTTAAAAAGTTAAATGTTAATATGCTAAGGAACCAAGTTTCTTAATTTCTATCTCAAACTCGTTTAATAAATCCTTCTGCTTTGCTTTTTGTCTGACAAACCCCAAATTGTGCCAAAAATTAAATGTCAAGAGTAATTCAGATAAGTGTAATATCATAATTTAAAATATTTTTAAAACAAATCTCGAAGCAGATGGCATGCAAGATTTTGCCACCATTAGAAAATAAGGCAGTAAGACAAAGGAATAGCCTTTTTGAGAAATACTAAAAAATGGAATATCATTACCACTGGCATATAGATACATATTTATCATCAAAAATGTAACACTTCTTTAGGAGCAAAATTAAACCAGGCCATGACTCCTCATAGGGTGAAATAACACGACATGATAACAGCACTTTGAATTAAGAGTTAGGAGATCCAAATTCAAATCCCAGCTCTTGACACAAAGCATATGACTGTAAGCAAGTTACTTAGTTGCTCCAAGCCTCAGTTTTCTCATCTGTGAAATGGAATAATATTCATATTACCAGCCTCACACTGTTGCTATGAGCAAAGCATTCAAAAGCCTTAAAGCACTATGTAAATATGTTATAATAAGGCTCAATATAGTGAATGGTGCCACAAAAATTTACAGGTATGGAAATATTTTAAATTCTTCGGATTACAGGTTTTTAATTAATTCTGCAGAAGTTCCCTGATTGTAAGCCTTTATTAAACATATATGTAAACATATAAAAACATGGTGGTAGGCTGGTTGTCCTTCATCTTCCAACAGGACCAAAATGACATCACTATGTTGGGGGTTAAGGTACAGGGTGTCTGACGGTGGCTGATCAGACCAACAGGAGCTCAGGTGATGTCTTTTGACTCTCACACAAAGTAGATTTTATGAGGCAGAGTTGCTAAAGTCATCGGATTCATTCTCTCTTCAGAGTCACTGAAGTCTGTGGTAAGATAAAAGTCAGGATGACTGGCAATGGCTCAGGGTGCAGTGGGCAATCTTGGTGTCTTCCAGTGTCTAAAGAGCTCCACAGCACCGGCTTCACCTGCCTTCAAGGCCAATGGAATAAACTGTTCTCACCCACCCAGTCCACCTGGGGAAGTCTTCACATGCTTGGGGAAGACACCCTTCCAACTCACCAATGGGTTTGAGACCCTCAACCTGGTTTAGCCCATCTGCCAAAATGGTTTACTGAAGTATGGCTGCTGTGCATGCTTCAGCTTTTTGGGGCCACAGGTGAGAGTTAAGTGTATCAGATGGACACCAAAGGTGGATGAGCAGCCGTGAAAAGCACTTAGCAGCCCTCATACCAGAGATACTAGTGTTCCTTGAGCACTATAAAAACATGTACCTGTACATGTACACATGTACACACACACACACACACACACACACACACACACACACCTCCTGAACTAGTCTTTTACTTGTGACTTGTTGCTATCCCAAACTAGTCTCTAAGGCATCATTCCTTAAACATACTCTACATCTAAAAATAATTTTTTTTCTAAACTGAAATCACCTTCTTTTCCAAACTCCCTTTCCTAATACATCCTTGTCTCCGTCAGCAGCATCTGATAGACTAGGTTCAAACCCATAATAATAAAGCTTAATTTCTCTTTCCTTTGCCCTCTATACCCCACCAGCAAATCCTGTCTATTCTTCTTTCTCAATGTCTCTTCCTTTCAGACCCTTGTCTGAGTCATCAACTTATAGATTCCTGCAACAGTTTTCTAGATATACTCTATGCTTTACCCACCTCCACCCCCCACCTTCAGTCAATTATGAAGTAGAGATCATACAGAAATAGGTTTCCAGGAGAACCTTTTTGGGAAGAAACAAACAAGAACATTTTTATCAGTTACTCTCCTGATTAAAAATGTACAACGGCTCCCCATCACCTACTACTAACTAAAATCTAAACTCTTCAAGTCTGAAATTCAAGGTCCTCTTATAATCAACTTGTCATTTCAACCTTTTTCAACCTTTTCATTCCTAAGCGAATCTCTTTCCATCCAGACAAATTTCTCTGCCATACCTTTTAACTTACAGGAAACTGAGAAGCAAACAGATTTCTTGATTTACCTAAAGTCATAATGTTAGACACCATTAGAAATAGGATTTAAATCCAGGCACTCCAATTCACAATCTAGGGCTCTTTCCCCTATAACATACTGCTTCCTTACAGACTAAGAGAGATTTATTTTGAATATCTAACTGCAGAGTATTTTTTACCTAGAAACTCTCAACTACTAATCACATAATCTCCTCATCCTTCTTCCCTTCACTGACATATACAATATACAGAAATGCCCACTAAAAATTAAACAAAGAATATAAGAGATGTTAAGGTTTTTCTGAGATTTTTAAAAAATTAATAAGCAATGATATAAAATGAGTAATATCCATGTCCTTAATCAATAACTAACAAAACAGTTTTTAAAAGCCACTGAAAGTGTGACAAGCATAATAAACAAATTACTCATTTGGGGGGCAAAATTCAAGCTTTTATAGCACCAAAGAATATATCATAGCTAACTTATTAATAGTCCTAAGAACATAAAAGAATTAAAGCATTTTACTGCCCAATAATCAAGCTTCTTCTGACATGATCAAAAAATGAGTACAAGACTCTGATTGGTTTATTTAAATTATAAGGACTAGTCCACCTGGGAATAAATTAAGTATTTTTAAATCTCTAAGTATAAATATATGAGAGGTTGTAATACTCAGCCATCAAATTAGCATTATTTCATATTTACCTCAGTTGCTCTTCTGATTATTTTATCATCTACATCTGTAATCCCCATCACCATGACAATGTTGTATCCAAAAACCTTGGTTAAGATTCTTCTAATTATATCAAACCGAACATATGAACTGAAAAGAGAAAATAAGATTTTAATTCCTCTTTTTTATATAGAAAATAATTTACTAAAGTAATTACTATTAAATTACTCTTTAAAATAATTTATATGTCTTCTGTTTAAAAGGCTTCAAGACGTTTACTCATTAAACAAATACCTATGGAGTGCCCACTATGTGCTGAAGAAACATGCTAGACATGTTATGTGAAAATCAAGATAAAATAAATAGTCCCTGCCCTCATGGAGTTTACAATATAGTAATAGGAGTGGGAAGATAAGTACACAAAAAGCTATATAATAGAAGGTAGAATTGAAAGGGGATGAAAGAGACCAAAAAAAAAAAAAAAAGGTTCTAGGAGTTCAAAAGGAAAGGAGAGATTCCTTCTTGACTAGGCCTAAGGCTAAATTTGTAAAACTTAGTTTGTAAAACAAAAAGACTGTTCCTGAATCATTCTACTCTCAAGTCTACATTACAATAAACCTCTAAAGATACTCTCTGAATTACAGTACACTTCTTCCGGCTTTTGTTTTTGGAGTTTAAGCTTGTTTACACCTAAACTTTAAGATGAAATTCTCTTTAAATACTATTATTAAATATCTACGGAGTTTGAAAGCTTCAGTATCCTTTTCCATAGCCTACATGCAATATGTCCAGTTTCACATCACTGCTATGCAGAGAGAAAAAAGAAAAATAAATACAATTGCTTTTCAATTAAAGCTATGTAGTACAAACTTTTAAAAAAAAATTTATACTAATGGGGAACTAAATGCCATTTCTTTGAACTATACTTCATAGTATATATTGTGTATACTTTTAAGGGTGGGAAAAAAAATCTAGTTAAGAAATCATCTAAAAGCTCTTCGGTCTGATTTCCCATTAATGCAATTATTTTAGTCTGTAGATACTAAACAATTAGATCAAGCTCTGTTAGCACTATATACTTTTAGGCCAGAAGGTACACAAACTTTCTCAACCTCAAACTGTTAAGACAAATCTTGATGAAAAGGGTCAAAAGAATACTGAGATACCGCGAACACTTCTTACAAAATAAATATTTAAGCCTAAGTAAATGTGGATTGACTATGCATATATTTATGTAAAGACAAAATATATTTTGCCTATACATGTAGTATATAAGGTGACAAGTACACAAAAATCTGCATAATAAAATATACATACGTGTACTGTGTGTATGCATATTTAAAACACCCACTCCATACACTTTTTAAAATAACTATGGCTAGCATTTGTACAGAACTTTAAAGTTCTCAGGTGCTTTATAAATATTAACTCATTTTATCATTACAACAAACCCACTATTTATATCCTCATTTTACAGATGAAGAAACTGAGGTATATAAGTTAAGTGACTTGTCCAGGGTTACACAACTAAATGTTTGATGCCACATTTGAACTCAGGTCTTTCTGACTTCAAGTCCAGAATGCTAAATACTGTGTAACATGGTTGAAGATATCTTGCAAAATTAAATGGAAAGAAAAGTAATAAAAATGTCAATTTGTTAAAAGAAACAAGTAGCTATTTGTTTTTCATTCAGTTGGCATTTATTAAGCACTGACTTTGCATGGAGGAAGATAAAGATAACTAAAACACAAACTCTATGGAGAATAAGGTGATAAGTAGTATAAGCTATCTAGCTTACACTTCTTAACACCTGATATGCAATTACATTTAGGAAGAAGCACAAACACAGCCATTTCTCTCCTGAATATACATATAAGTCTGTATGGCAATAGTTTAATTAATGCCACTTAAACTGGGGAAAGAATAATAAACTAATAATTTGTACTGATAAAAAAAATCTAATTTTGCCTCATTTCCTAAATCACCTCAACCTTTCAACCAAAGAATTCCCTATAAAACTTGACAAGCAGTTTAGCAGAAATTTCACATTTTAGCATCTCACATCAGATACCACAATTCACTTCAAATGGACAGTCAACCTAAATATAAATGGTTACATCATAAACAAATTAGAGGGGTACAGAAGGAGATACCTTTCACAACTCTGAGTGAGAGTGTGGGGTGGGAGAGGAATTATTAACCAAACCAAAGAAAGTCATAAAAGATAAAAATAGGCAATTTTGATAATATATTACCAAAAAACTTTTGCACAAAATCAATACACCAGATAACTAGAAAGTACAAATTAGAAAAATGTTTTCAAATACCACTGATAAAAAACTAATAATTTATGTTTACAAGGAATTGACACAAATATGAGTAATTCTCCAATAGACAAGAATTAAAAGATATGACTGGTTTCTGAATGAATTACAAGCTAGCAAAAACCATATGAAAAATGTTACACATCATTAATAACTAGGTGAACACAAAATTAAACACCTATGAAGTTCCACTGCACCCTCAAAATGGCAAAGATGATAAAAGATGAAATAATTAATGTGTTGGAAAGACAAATAGGAAGAAGATATTAGCAGAGCTATGATTTGGTCCCACTGTTCCAGAAAACAATTTGAAGCTGTGAGAAAACTCAAAACTGTTCACATCTTTCAACCTACTGATTCCACTCCTGGGATAATATACCTTATGAAAAACAAAAAGATTCCATATACACCAAAATATTCATAAAAACACTTTGGTAGCAAAAAACTGGAAACAACATGATGGACGAGCACTTTAGCTAAACAAATCCAATGTAGTAGAATACTACCACACTCCAAAAACATAATAAGTGTGGAATTCAGAGAAACATGGAAAAACCGATGTGAACTAAAGCACAATGAAATAATTAGAACCAGAAAAACAATATACAAGATGACTAAAATAATGACCAAAAATACTAAAAAAAGCTAGATCAATAGAGCTTAGTTTCAGAGAAGAGATAATGGAACACACCTCCTTATCTCAGTACAGAGGTAGGTGACTAGAGATGCAGAATGTTGTATATGCTATCAGACCAAGTAGCTGTGCTGACTGGAAGGATTAAGGGTAAAGGGGGAAGAGAAGCAGGAAGAGGAGAAGAGATTACATAAAGAAATGACTAAGGGGTAAAAAGTCATCAACAAAATTATTCTCTAAAAAACAAACTAGTCAAGCTACAGATGAAGAGCTGGCCAAACAGCATCTAAACCTATGTATACAAAAACCTAGCGATCTAGTACCATCTGGGATAGCATTTCCTTTATCACCTACAATATCCTTTTCTGAAGCACAGGGGGCGTAGACTCTAATATGCCCTACCTTTACCTCATGGAAGCCTTCAAAGAGAAATTAAAGCCTCTCTCCATAAATGGCAACTATTCACATTTCTATAGGGCCTTAAGGTTTACAAAGCACTTTCCTCACAATCCAGAGAAGTAGGTAATATAGGAATAAGAATCAGACTCATCCTTACAAAGAGTATTCAAAAAATAAAACCTATCCCTCTTCTCTGCAAAATATCACTGGGAAACAAATAAACATGTCAAACAACTATCCAAAGATCTGCTTTTTAGAAGACACAGACCACAGGAACATAACTGGCTAGACACCCCAAGGATGCTTCCAATCTTCTGGCATCCTGATTATTTTATCCTACCCCCAATTTCCTTCAAAGTATTTAAATCACTGTTCTATACATCTGAGATAATCCTATATGGTTTATAATTAAGCCACATTCATAGTTCTGCCAAATAATAATCCAATCACCCAAGAAAGGATGAAGAAAGAATCTCGTTATCAGTTACTATGTCCTTCCCTTATTTTTTGACCAAAAAAATCTGGGTGCTAGATTTTTCTTTTTTTAAAGAATTACAGTATAGCAACTCAACCAAAGGAGAACTACGGCCTTGGGAATAATGTTCAGTGCTTTCAATGACCCCCAACTCTCTCCCTGAAATAGAGGCCCATCTTTTTTAACAACAATATTCTTTTAGTGATGATCTATGGCTTTAAGTCATAAAATACCACAGTATTTAAAGAACTAAGCTGAGGCAACAGGGTCAAAACAAACAACTTTTAAAGACTTACAAACTCTGATCAAAGCAAGTGCCAACCACAATTCCAAAAGACCATTGATAAAAATGTTGTTCACCTCCTTTTCAGACTAAATATGAAAAATGAGAAAACCATTTAAAAACATGGTCAGTGTAGGAATTTATTTCTATAGTCTTGCACATATTTGTTACAAGGGTTTTATTTTTCTTTTTTTCAATGGGGATGGTGGGAATTGGGAGAGAAAAAAGCTTGTTAATTTTTTTTTAATGAAACTTCATTAAAAAAAAAAAGAATTAAGTTGAGGGTTACCCAAAGAGCAATGGGAAGAGGAAGGGAAAATGAAAGGAATAAACTTTACAAAAATTATCTCATTTGATTCTCACAAGAACCCTGTGAAGCAGGTGCTCTTATATGGTAAAGAGTAGTTAGGTGACTCGCCCAGGGTTAGTGTTTAAGGCTGCATTCGAAGGAGAGGTATGTGGCTGGAATAGGCAGAAACACTTAACTAATAAAGAAGTGTACATGCCAAACAGTGAAAAGGATGCCTTCAGAGAAATGTATTTTTGAGAAAGGGAGGTGTGCTGCTCATAAAGGAAGAACAAGGGATAATAGATAAGGCAGCCTGCAGGATAGATAGCCACATGATATCAACAGGTCTGGAGCGTAGCCTCCAGAATGCTGCATAAACCATCTATGTAGGATTTATTATAGGCTGCAAGAGGCATAAAGGGTAATAGCTCAAAGAGGAATGCAGGATAAAATGGGTTATTAACTGCTTTGTTGGAAGAAGTACCCACATCACTGTGTAATAATAACTTAATGCAAAGTACAGATGAAGACTAATATAGGCACCATGTAAGAAAAAAAGTGTCCCAACACTGAAAGCGATCTAAAACTGAAACGGATAGCTTGGGAAAGTAGTGGATTCCCCTTCACTGAAGATCTTCAAGTGACTTGTTAGGGATGCTGGAAAGGGAATTCCTCATTGTAAAGTAAACAAACGACTTCTAGTACCCCTTCCAAGAATGAGAGAAGCTATAAAAGCCTGTCTTTGTTAGAGAGGACTTCCAAAAAAGAAATCTATCTTCATTCAGAATGCTGCTAAATTGTGGTCTGCAGGGGGCAGTGCTGTTTTGGTAGAGTCTCCGGGCTCCCCTCCAACTTGCTACAGGTCAGTATGACAAATAATTCACCCAATTACGAAACCTTGCTTCACAAAGGAGGGGATACCTGAGCTGAGCTATGAAGGGAAGATGAAGAATCAAGGCTTTGGGGGCAGATCTAGGTTAGTTAGAACACAGAATATACATGAAGAGGAGTAACTTGACAAATCTAGAAAACGGGAGTTGCACCAAGATTGTGCCAGGTCTTAAATGCCAGACTAAACAGAGTATGTTTTTATTTTAGAAAAAATAGGGAATCCGTAAGGATTTGGGGGTAGAAGAGCCTATGACTTAGGAAGATTAATTAGGCAGTTGTGTGGAAGACTGATGGAGAAGAAAGTCTGGGAAGCTGCTACAGAAGTCGAGGTCAATCTCTCTTATCAACAGCTCTCGAAGTGTGGTCTTCACACCTCTGAGGGTTCCCAAGAGCTTTCTAAGGATCTGTGAGGTCAAGTGTATTTACATAATTCTAAGATGCTATTTGCTTATTAAGATATTCCTTCCTTTTTCAACTACATAGCTGCATGAGGTCATATTGTCTTTACATACTTCAACCAAAACAACACAACACAACAGATTGAATACAGCAGATATAAGAATCCAGCTGCCTTCAATGAGGCCAGACATTAAAAAGACTTGTAGAAATATATAAAACAATGTAATTCTCACTATATTTTTGTTTTATAAAGTAGTTATTTTTATATAAAAAGTTATTTATGTTAACATGTAGTGAGTTTATGGTTTTTTAAATGAAGTAATAAATATTTTTAAAATTTATCAGTTTTAACTTCTAGTATAGTAAATATTGATAAATATAACCCATGAAACCCACATTTGGGATCCCCAATAATTTTTAAAAGTGTAATAATGAGGTCTTGAAACCAAAAAGGTTATGAACCATTGCTCTATAGTGCTAGAGTTTTAGTTAAACCAGTAGACATTTAATAAATGCTGATTGACTAATTTGTGCCTTTAAATGATAATAGAAGTTGTAGTTACTATTCTAACCCAAGCTAATGAACACCATATTGAAGTGGGTTATCAGAAAACCAGGGTTCTAGGCCCATCACATGTATGACCTTTTATAATTCATTTACTATCCCTTGGCCTCCTTTTTCCCATCTGTAAAGTGAGGGGACTAGCTGACCTCTAAAGTTCTGTTCAGTTCTACAATTCTGTTATCTTCTGATACTCTCTGCTCAAAAATCTTCAATGGCTCTCGATTACCTGCAAGATGCAATACATATACCTTAGCCTGAGAATATTAAGGCCCTCCAAAATCCTCTATAAGAACACACTGTTATCAAACACACCTTCTATAGTTGCTAACATCTTCCTTCCCCAAACTACTGCTCCTCTACATTAACTGAATCTGGCTTACCCTTCAAGGTCCAGTTCCCAAGGCTTCAAGTTCCCAAACTTCTATGAAAATAACCCTGATCCAGGCCAGGTTATAACAGATTCCCCCTTTCCCCTAAATTTGTAAAGCAAGTATTGTCTCTACCACTCATCTGGTAATTTTATACTATAATATATAATTATTTCTTAAATGCATAGTCAGTCTTTTCAACCAGACTGTGAGCTCCCTGAGACCAGAAACTACATCTTATACTTCATACCAGACTTGTACACAGCTTTTGATACGTTTGCTTACTGACAGGATTCATTAAGTAAAGGAGGAAAGTCCATAGGAAACCAGCAAACTCTAAAATCAACTTTAAGGATAATGTAAAAAATGACCAGGATACTATCAGATTCTAGTTACCCCTCTTATTAAACAGGCAATTTATGTAGCTATCAGCATAAAACATCTAGTGAAATAGAATTCAACAAGTTAACATTTCAGTCATCTTGACATCTGACAATAATTTTTCACTTCAAACCAAACCATTCAATTAAACAAACCACCACCACCAAGTACAAAGACTACAGCTATAGGCATATTTTTAAAAATTCAGTTTTTTCCCTGAGTAATAACCCTTTAGAAGTTTGGGGAAAATCTACCTTCTCAGAATAGATACAAAGACTGACCACATAGTTGCACATTTTCTTTCTTCATATATTTCTCCCTGCAAAATTTTAAGTAATAAGTTTTTCTACAAACTGTTTTCCTCCTCCCTACCTATTCTGGAAGGCTTAGTAAAAGCAGATAAAAAGATGGTTAATTAAAAGCTAAAGGTAAATTTCAGAGTATCTAACAATTCATATGGCCCCTTCAACAGTTCTTAAAATGCCTTCAAGCCCTTGAAACTAGAGATTGTGATACTAGAAGTGGAAAGGAAATCAGCTGTCAAGGCTACCAAGAAGTCTCAGTTCCAAACATTTCACCTTTCTCCCTAGTCTTACTCCTTTTTTAATACCACAGTTCAAAATGGGGTGAGGGAATATAAGCAAAAAGGTGACTGACAAGTCAAAAGGAGACTTGACATCACCCAATAAAATCATCAGATTGTTAGCTCCTCAAGGGCAGGGATTATTTTGTGCCTTTGTTTCTAAAGCAACTGGCATAGTGCCTGGCACATAGCTGTTGTTATTCAGGCAATTAATAAATGTTTACTGACTAACGGAATGACTGAAATTAAATACCTCCGCCTTCTGTATTACAGAGAAACAAGACTTTTATTAGTTACAATATAGCACCTTATATTTCCATTATATTTCTTCAAAACTGAAAAGCCCTATTCCAAGAAGAAATCAGAGCATCTGATCAATCTAACAGTTGAATTTGAAAAAATTTAGGGGCTATAAATAACTAAATAACACTATTAAAAGGTTAATATTAGTACTGAAGTGATAGACTATGAGACAAGGCAAAGTTAAGGAAAAAAACATTTTTTCTCATCATAGGTAGCATACACCGGGCAAATAAAAATATTTTCAATGCCTATAACTTTTGGGAGTTTATTCTGGCCAATTTACTTGTAGGAAGCTGCCTAATTTTCATATAAAAAGGATTCAGAAATTTACAATTTTAATCACTCTTACAAAAGGTAAATACTTTTAGGACAGCTTCTTTACTACTACGGTTAGGATGTAAGACATATTAGGGATATGTCAAATTAATCAAAAAGGTGGGTTTTAAATAAATGAATACAGTAATATCTTCAGTTGTGCCAATTATTTAACATTTACCCAGCTGGCTGAAATTAAAGTAAATGCCAGAGTACTTAAACTGTCCATTTCTTCATAACATGTTTTCAAACCTCCAGAGACTGCAGGTTGAGATACAAGGGAAATCGAACATTTATACAATAACTTCATCATGTAAGGTGGTGATTCTGACCAGGGCAGATTAAAATTATTGTAAGAGAATGACAAATCTATTTGGTTTTTTTTTTAATGCCATTTCTTTTACAAGTAGAAATATTTTTAAATGCAAAACAAATGTAGAAAGACAAATGCATCACAACTCACCAAGCATGCCCAAGATGTGCATGATCATAAACAGTTGGTCCACAACTGTACCTGTGAACAAAGTTAAGATCCATCACTGACTGAAATGGCTTTCCAGTAACAGGGCACTATATTCATAATTATAAGATAGCTATTAATTTGACAATGCATTACCATTTTAAAACAAATTCTTAGACAGGGTCTGAGGATTTTTGAGCTGGGAGAGGAAGGATTCAGGGCCAAGTCCTTTCCTCCATCCCTCCCTTCTCACAGGTGAGGGAACTAAAACTGTGGACCTCTCCCAACCCCCACGAAGAAAAATAACTTGCATATATATAGCTAGCACAAGAGTTCTTAACCTGGGATACGTGAACTTTTGAAAATTTTGTTATCTATTTCATTGTAACTGGCTTCCTTTCTAACTTTACGTATTTTTATACTTTGAAATGTTCTAAGGAGTTCATTGGCTTCATCAGACTGCCAAAGGACCCATGATAAACAAACATAGTTGACCGTGGGCCAGCAGGTAGCAGACAGGATTTAAACCCCGACCTCAGATCACAAGACGGTGTATTAAGAGGAGGAAAAGACCTCAGAGGACTTTTAGTCCAACTCCCAAACTAAGGTACAGAGAGCTCAGGGCCTGTCCCACAGGTGAGCAGACGACAGAGATGCTCATACTCCAAACTCCCGCATTGTTTCTACAATACCATGCTGCTTCCGTTGACACTTGGCCTGGTTATTTCACATCGCAAATTAAAAATAAAACTGCGAATTCAATGTAACATAAAACAGATTTAATGGCACATAATGCGTCTCCTAACTGTCCAGATTTAGAAGAAATAAATGCGTTAAGTCTACTCCCCCGGGAAACTGTGGGTTCGCTCCTCCCCCACCACCTGTCCCTCCTCCCCGCCCCCCCCCCGCCCCCGGGGGTGACCCCAAATTCCGGTAACGAATCGCCAGCGCTACCAGGAGATCGCTTCCGGGCGGGGCAGGATTAAAGGGTCTTTCCTTTGGGTTAGACTGTTGTAGATCTGGATGCCCGTGTCGTGGCCCGGGGGCAGCCGCCACTCCTTCCCGCGGCCTACACACACGCAGCGGGCCCAGGGGAGCCAGCCCGCCGGCCGCCGGCAGACGAGAGTGGCGAGGACGGGCAGCGCCCGCCAATGGCCGGCGCCCCGCAGCCCCCACAGGGCCGGGCTCAGGAGCGGCCCGCGCCGCAGCGACATTAGCCCCCGCGTCCCGCGGGCCGGGGTGCAGGTGAGCAGAGCGCGGGAGAGTCGTGGAGGCTAGGCCGCTGCACCACCGCCGCACGCTCCGCTCGGCCGCCCCGATGAGGGGCCGGCCGGAAAGCCCACCTTCTCCTCCCTCGTCCCGCCCCCTGGGGCGGCCTTCCGACTCCTCCCCGCCCAAGGCCGAGCCCCAAGCAGAGCCCGAAGCGCCGCCCCGGCCGCAGAGCTGAGAGGCCTGAGCTGGAGCAGCCCCAGGCCCCCGGGCACTGGCCCTCCGCCCCGCGGGGCAAGTTCACGACCTCGTGCAGGGGGAAGGAGGCGGGGCTGAACACCAAGACGCCACGTGAGGGGGACGTGCGGCGCACGGAACAGCCTTTCCTCCAACTGTAGCTACAACTGCGGCGCCCCGGGAGCCGGGACAGGGTCGGGGGAAACCCCAGAAGCCTGCGCGGGCTCCGGAAAAGGGTGGGGCTTGAGGTGGCCCCGGAGCCTCCCTCTCCGTCTTCCTCCACCCTGTTCAGCCACGTCTACCCCTCCCCAAAGGAAGAGGCACGTTCTCCTAATAAGCGCATGTTGGTGCCCGGCCTGCGCGAGCGGACTCGCCAGGCCCTCGGGGAGCGCTCCGGTCTCGGGGAGGCTGCCCGCGGCCCCCGGCCCCTTAGCAAGAGCTGCGCCTGGGGTAACGGGCGAGCCCGCCAGCCCGCGGGGCGGTGGTCCGTCTGCTCCTTGGTTTTTCCGAGCCGGACGCGAAAAAGCCTCCTTTCCCCGGTGCAGGGCGGTCAACTGACTGCTGCCCCTCCGGAGGAGCCCCAACAATAGAAATGGTAACGGAGCGCCTGGAACCCTAGCACTGCGGCTTTTAGCACACATACACAAAACACACACTGCCTCCAGTGCCCCCACACAAATTAAATACCCAAGATACTATGTTAAGCTTGCACAAAAATTACTCGGTTCTCGCGCATGGGCGGTAGGAAATTTCCTTTTGGATTTATTTTAAGACGTTTTAAAATTTAACCCTCACCCTCCCACCTTCTGGGGGGAATCATTTTGAAATGTACATTAGACTAAGAGACTAGTAACTTTCAAAATCTCAAATTGTCAACAGCTTGGCAGCACAACCCTGCACGTGCCCTGCAGTTTTCCAGTCATCTCATCCCGATGTACGTGTGGTATAAGACAAGCAGTGTCTTTCCCAAAGAATCACTTTTCCTCACAACCATCAAAATAGAATGTCTCACGTCTTTTTGACTCTCCTCAGTCATACTTTTGAGTGATTACATCTAAAAAAAGAAAGTTTCTTTGTTGTTTTCTCATATTACTGTTCCAGAAATTAATGCTAAAGTATAACAACAGACATAAGGTATTTCCCCCAAATGCTTGTCAAAATAACAAAGCCAAGATCCCTGGGGTCACTGATTCCTATATTTCTCCAGAAAAAAAAAAAGAAAGACGTCACCAAAAGACATTTAGTGTCATGAGAAAACATTAAGTGCTCCAAGACTTAGAACGCTAAGTCACAATTTGAATTAGTAGCCCTGGGTAAATATTAACATTTGATTGTCTAATGCAAGACACTGTTATTCCTAATTCCATTTTACTATGATAATTCTTTCAGTATAGTACATGGGTATACATTTTGTATTCATATACAGTACTTGATTTTGCTACTTTATAATTTTCTCATTTCTAGTAAAGTATATTTTAAGTGCTATAGAATGTAAACTCTTTTTGGAAACTCGTCTTAGAATTTGGCAGTTCTCTGAAGACAGTAGGCACCCAGTAAATGTTTTTTGAATGTTTTCTGAATTAATCTTGCATAACTTTAATCAGTTCTGCAGGTGAAATGAAAAGACAGTAAAATCACAACTTAATAAGGGAAGCTCTGACCCAGATACACTTCAACAAAAAAGTTAACCATCTTTACTATCTGTGAATATTTGAAGCTTAATCAGAAATCTAGAGAACTTTCTTTGATTACAAATTCAGAAACACCAAGATTAAATTCCAGACATGGTAGATTCATATGGTTGGCATATTTGAATTGGCCAGAGAAGATAATAACTTTTTATCAAGGACAGATTTTACTGTCTTCCTGAAACTGGCTATGAAATCAGTGTACAGGCAGCAGTTGGGCCTTTTTCTAGAGCCTTTTGAAATCACCAGTGCTTCACAAACATTTCTTGGTGATGGCAAAACAGGTTGACTATTAAGGTAGTAAAGATATTTTCATATATAAATTGTTCATCATCTTGTTTTCAGTCAAAATTTTAGCAAATGCTAAAGCATAGAATAAAGACATTTTAAGGAATTTTAAACTTCGTATGAATTATTCTATTTTTTACGTTTGCATTTCATTTTCAAATTTTATGAAAACAAAAATTTTTACATATGTATGACATATTTTGCTTTAATTTAAAAGGTGTATTGGCAGCTTAATCTAGAGATATCATTTTTCCAAAAGTTTTAACGTTTTTTCTACAATAGGATCCAAAAAGCAACAAGAATAGACTTCCATTGATTGAATAATTTGGAGAGTTTAAACTCTTCTAAAATGTCTTATCACAATTATTCTACGTTAAAGTGGCCTACTTGCTGGATCCCCGACTCAGCATTCCATCCCTGCCCCCCCCAACCTCGACCTTTCACATCCATAACTAAAATGCCTTCCCTCCTCACCTCTCTTAAAATCCTTAGCTTCCTTCAGGGTTCTACTTCAGAGTCACCTCTTCTCATAAGCAGCTATTCCAGTTTGGATCTAGTTAATGTTGGCAACCTTCTCAACTAATCTTGTATTTTATTCAAGTAAATGTATCTTTTTAGTAGAAATTAAGTAAGTTTCTTGAAGGCAGGGACTGTTGTTTTACCTTTGTATTTCCAGAACAAGTACAGTGCCTTGCACTAGGCCTTAATAAATGCTTATTAAATTAAATTAACCTCATAGACTTGGAATTTCATTTAAAGAGTAACTATGACCCAGTGCAGTGGTGTCAAACTCAAATAGAAAAGGGGCCACTAAGCCATACATAAGGATCCTTATGGACTGCATATTGACTTAGAAAACCACATATTGGCATTATCAGTGTTTCATTTTATTTTTGTTTATTTTGTTAGATATTTCCCATTAATATTTCAATCTTTTGGGCTGCACTTGAGCCATATGAATGTTGTGGGCCTCAAGTGGGTGTTTGACATCTCTTTAACTAAAATCCATAGTATATTGTATTACATGGTAAAGAGGTTTTGTTTTGTTTTGGTTTTGATTTTTAGTTTTTTTAATTTTCTGAATAGAGCCAAAGGAGAAGGTGGATATTAGAGAGATAATGATGGGATAGAGACTACACCTGTGATGTCCTTGGTATAAAGAACTCCCACTTGAGGAAACTTCTGTCTGCCGAAATGGAGAGAGTGGTTTCTCTGCAACTTTTAGGGAGTTGTCTGGAGAACTGAGACATTCTTGCCTAGAATCACATAGACAGCATATAGGAACTTGCTGGAATTGAACCCCAGTCTTTTTTGTTTTGAGGCTAGTTCTCTAATCAGTAGTCAATGCTACCTGACATAATTATTCCAATAAAAAATGTTAATCTAGCTCTTAACTTGTTTCTTGGTTAATTTTTAAATGGAAAAATGTTTTCTCTTTTTGAAGTAGCTATGAATAAAAGTTCTAGATTTATAGGCTAGTTGACCACTTACTAGAGTACCAGTCTATTAAGCAAAAAAGCATATATTAAGCAATAACCCTGTGTTAAGAATAGGGGATTTAAAAAAAAAAACATGGGCCTTGACCTCAAGGAACTCATTATAATGAAGGAGACAACACACAAAAAGTTGTACGTGCAGAGTATAGTGTAGATGGAATGTAAATTCAGAAGAGGCACTTGGAGTGATGGCGAGCAGGGGGAGTAGAAAAATGGGGAAAAGCCTACAGAAGATGTCATTTGAATTGAGTCTTGAAGGAAGCCAGGAGGTGGTGAGGAGGAAGATCCAGTGAAAAGGCACTGAATTGGGATGTGGAGTATTCAGCTCAAGCAAGAGCAAGAAAGCCAGTGTTTCTAGATTATGAAGCTGAAGGGGAGTGAAGTAAAGAAAACTGGACAGGTCAGAAGGGCCAGATGTTAAATATCAAACAGAGGATTTTATGTGGGAGGTAATAGGGAGCTACTGGAATTTGTGCTTTAAAACCACTTTGGCAGCTGAATGGCAGATGGACTAGAGACTGGAGACAGGAAGACCAATCAGAAGGTATTGCCTTCTGAAGGTGTGAGGTGATAAAGGTGGCGGATATGGGAGTAGAGAGGAGACATTATATAGGAGATGTTATGAAGGTAGAAATGACAAGACTTGGCAGGCAACTAGATATGTGAAGTGAAGAGTTGAGGTTGACATTGGTGATTGAGAAGGTGGGAAAGGGGAGGGCTGGGGAGGAAATTGGAAGAGTTGGTTTTTGGATGTGTTGAGTTTGAGAGTTTGCTAGGCAGTTAGTAATTTAAGGTGGAGTGCTCTGTGCAAGGAATAGTAAGAAGGCAGGTGTTGCTGGATTGTGGAGTCCATAGAAGGGCATAATATAAGCCTGAAAAAAAAAAGTAAGGCAACTTTGGCAGCTGACTCTCCGATGATTTGGAAGGGGGAGGTAAAGAGAGGCAATGGAGACCAACTAGAAGACTGTTGCAACAGTCTGGGAGAGAGGCTGATTCAGGCCTGTACCAGTGTGGTGACTGTAGGTGTAGAGAAAGGTAGGTAAAGAAGAGATATTGTGAAGGTAGAAACCATAAGACTTGACAATGAACCCATTGGATATGTGAGATGACTTATCAGTGAGGAGCTGAGGCTGACTGAGCTTAGTTAACTTGTCAGGATGGTGGTGCTCTCAATAGTAATAGGGAAGTTAGGAAGAGGGGAAGGTTTGGAGAGGAAGAAAATAAGTTTTGTTTTGGATCTGTTGAGTTTGAAATGTTGATAGCACATCCAGTTCAAGATGTTAAAAGGCAGTTGGT